CTTAGCTCCCAAGAGCTGGAACAAACTTATTCAATCTCACTCCCAGATACTCTTCCCTCTTTCATCTTATTCATTCATTCAATAAGAATGTATTCCAGCCAAAACCAGTTTGGCTCAGTGGATAGAGCATCAGCCTGCAGACTGAAGGGTCTCGTGTTCGATTCCGGTCAAGGGCGTGTACCTTGGATGCAGGCACATCCCCAGTGGGAGTGTGTGCAAGAGGCAGCTGATTGATGATTCTCTCCCATCGATGTTTCTAACTCTCTATCCCTCTCTTTCTTCCTCTCTGTAAAAAAATCAATAAAAAATATTTTAAAAAAAGAAAGAAAGAAAGAAAGAAAGAAAGAAAGAAAGAAAAGAAAGAATTCCAGATGATACCAAACTCAGGTTTAGCTACCTACAGCTTTAAAAGCCAATACTTGAGACACTGGTGCTTATGTAAGAAAAGATAGTTTATTCAAATGCTGGCAGCCTGAGAAGATGGCAGACTTCTGGCAGGTGTGCTCAATGGTTAGAGCACACCAAAGGGTCTGTGGTTTGATTTCTGGTCAAAGGCACATACTGGGAAAAGGAGCATGCAGGAGGCAACCAATTGATGTCTATCTCTCACATTGATGACTCTCTCTCTCTCTCTCTCTCTCTCTCTCTCTCTTCCTCTCTTCTTCCCTTCCTCCCTCCCTTCAACTCTCTCTTTATATATAGTAAAAAATATCCCTAGGTGAGGATTAACAACGAAAAAAAAGACCATCTTCACATTTCAGCACAGATGGGGGTTTTTATTAGGAGATAGGGAAAGCAGAACAAAAAAATCAGGGGAGAAGGGAGTTGACATTTTTTATGTGTAAGTCAGCACAGTCCATTCTGATGATTACCTCAAAATTGGTCCAGTTTTTATGAATGACCATCAACAAGTCTCCTAGAGCCAGAACATCCAGATACTGGAGTCAGCTTCCTTTGAACTCTTACACAAATATGCTGTTTATTTATGGGTTACATATTAGTTAACAACTCACCTTTTACAAAAACACTTTCTACAGAAACAAAATTAAAAGAATGTAGGGGTGGACTATATGGGCACTGTTCTCAGTGATAGAGTTGCAGCTGTGACCAAACTGAGAAGTCTCTCTGCCTTCTTGAGCTCATATTACTCCAGCCAAGCCCATAACGCTTCAAGCCCTTGCACACTCCCAGGCCTTGGCAAAGGCTGTTCCCTCTTCTCTTCTTTAGTGACTTCCCCACCTGGGGGACTCAGCCCCTAACGCCCACCTTGCCCTGATCTGCCCATGGGTTGGATACCACCTGGGATCATCACACAGATGATCATCATCCAGCTCCACATACATATCTGCCTCCCCGACCAGGCTGTGAGGGTCTTGAGGGAAGGGGCTGTACCCCAGGACCTGATTCTAGATGCACCGGCCACAAGGCTCCATTCCCTAACCCCAACTCAGGACTGAGCAGGAGAGGCATGGGGGGGGGGGGAGTCCAGAATGCCTCTGAAGAACTTCCTCTGCCTGGGATCATCCTACTCCTGGCACCCCAGGGGAAAGCCTCATAGGAGCAATGGCACAGACTGCTTCCAGCATAGGCAGTGGAGGACTGAGGGAAGACGGGACGGAGAAGACAGGGGGTGCACAGGGCTATGACAGACATCAGATCTGCACACTGAAGGGGATGTTCACAGCTTTCACTGGCAGGAAGAGCAGGCACTGGCCTTCCCCCAAGAGAAATAGGTTGGCAAGACATGGACCTACTCGAGGTAAGCCTTAGTGGCCCTTGAGATTTATGAAGTAAGGGAGACAGTTTCCCATTCCCTCTGGCTTGCTCAGGAAAGCTGAGCTTTGGTTTTTCAGTCCTGCTCCCTCTTCTGCATCTCCACTTCTCCCTGGTTTGAGGGGAAGGGGGGCTGCAGAAGATGCACAAGACCGAGTGCAGAAGGCTGGGCCTGTGTCCTGGCCCTAGCCTGGCCCCTAAGAACCCAATATTGTTGCCATACTGTGTGGATCCTTGTGCCCCAAATGGCCTGGCACCCACTGGGCCCCAGGTCCACTGGGGTGCTTGTGTGTCATGCGAAAGCCAGAGGGAGGAAGGTTTGTGCTTGGCCACTTCACTGGCTCATTCACATGGATTTACAAGGACTCATTCCATGCCTTCACGCACTTGGCTTCCTGGCCCCCTTTCCTCGACCCTGCTAGCAGTTCTCAACCTGTGGGTTGAACTGCTGCTGTAGAGCCTAAGACCATCAGAAAACAGATATTTACATTACGAACAATTCATAACAATAGCAAAATTACAGTTATGAAGTAGCAACGAAAATAATTTTATGGTTGGGGGTCACCACAACATGAGGATCTGTGTTAAAGGGTCGCAGCATTAGAAAGGTTGAGAACCACTTGTTTAGAGACTCGCTTGGGGGTGGGGAGAGCACAGGAAGCCCCTGTGCTGCTGTTGCATGGCTGAGCTGGGAAAACAGAGAGAAGAGACCAAGATACAGACTCTGAACTCCTTCCAAGACAAAGTAAATTGGTCTTATAACCCAGAACAGTGTGTCAGAGGAGCCCCAGAAGCCCTGGTCCTGCCCTTACCTCTTACATAAGGAGAACGAGGCTTAGGAAAGGCAATGTCTGCCTGGGATCATGAAAGGTGACAGCAGCCCGGAGTCTCTGGTCCCTCAAACTCCTGGACTCCTGGCTCCAGCACCTGCTGCCATCTTGGGTGTGTGAGAGGAAAGAACCAGGCTGGCCCAGATCACAGGGCAGTGCAGTAGGTGGGGGCAATTCCAGCCCCATGGGGTCTGCCAGAGCCGCCCGGAAGCTGGGCTCAGACTCAGAGAGAGCTGTCTCAACTTCCACACCCCCCGCCCACAGTTACTGCTCAGGAAAACTCCCAGCAAAGCCCAAAAGGCACAGTTCCTGCCACAAGAGTTAGGTGAGAAGGGAATGAAGGGGAGTTGAGATAAAAATGGAGGGAGGCCCCTGAAGGACATCCAGGTTTCTCTTCGAATCTCCCACTCACCTACCCCTCATCCCTGGACCTGCCCACTCATACCCCTGGACAGCTTCCCCACCTCTCACCCCAACTTCAGGGGCCATTTTTCACACATCCTTCTGGGTTCTAAAATCTATTTGCTTTACCTTTGAGAGAATTCAAGAGCATCTATGTTTCAAATCTCACCCCAGCCCTGTCACTGCCTTGGGTTGAAAGATCAAGCTCCAGGCTAGCACACAAACCCTGTCTACTATCCCTCTTTCCCCTCTGCATGCAGACCAACACCTACCCTGCCTGGTGGGCAGAGCCTGGAGTACCTCACCGCTTAGACACACCCTACAACTGCCCTCTAGCCTTCTATCGTCACAAGTTATCCCATGGGCTCTAGCTTACTCCCTAGAATGGGAACCTAGAAGGCAGGGAGGCCTGAGGCTGTTTCGAATGGCCAGGAAAGGCCAGGCCTGCCTGACAAGTATGGGAGGGAGGTTGGGAAGGGGGAAAGGTGAGAGGAAGTGGAGTGTAGGAGTTGTCTGGGCTTCAGGGTCAATGGCTAGGCAGGCAGTGCATTGCTCAGGAGCATTGGATTCAGATCCTGCTCCTGCCTCTCACTAGCTGGGAGCCCTGCTGAGGGTGTCCTCCCCTCCAAAGTTCTACAGAGAGCACTAGTGGGGGGTTGGGGTGATGATCACACAGGCAGGAGGTGGAGTTACAAACAAGAGCCCTCACCCTCACCCTTACCCCCCACCACCAGAATGACTTTGAAGGGAAGGAGCAGGCACAGGTAAATAAATAGCTTGTTTATTAGTAATATGTTACATCGTTAAAGTGCATTGAAAAGAGATGCAGTGACCAAAGCTGGAAGGTCGCCAGCCCCAGGCCCTGCCCGGGGCTGGCCAGACACCAGAGAAGGTCCAGCTCTCTGCTGAAATCCAGGGACAGGGTTGGGGCAGAGCTACCCACCTGGAGAGCTTGGCCCAGGCTGTCCCCACTGGAATTCACAGTTTAGCCTTAGTTATAGCATGTCCTGAGCTGAAGGTGGGAGGCTAGGAGCATGGAAGCACAGCCCCTGAGGAAGGGGGCCCGCCCCCCAACCCCCAACGCCAAGGGCAGAGTCCTGGAACCTCTCCCAGAGGACCTGATTCCTATATGAACGTGTGAACCTAGGGCTCAGTTTTCTCCTTCATTCTCCCGTCTCCCTCACCCCACCCCCTCTCATAACCAACAGGGGGACTTGGACAATGTACCCCTCAGCCTGGGCTTCCAGGGCAGAGCCAGCTCATGCCATCTCCTTGAACCCATGCCACCATGTCCCTGGACTCTTATCCCATGCCCAAGAGCCTCAGGCTGGGATGCCCCAACCCCCACCCCATCCCTTTCCTGCCCCTCCCTTTCCCACCCACCCCGGGCATGTAGTTTTGGTATTTTCATACAGATGCAGTCGGAAGTAGCAGTACATGAAATAAGCCTAAGATAAAAATAGAGCCCTTTCCGTCCTCACGTCCGGAAAGCAAACATCCTTCAATAAACATGCAAGGAGGCTGCCTTAGTGGAACCCAGGGCTGGTGAGGGCCACAGAGGGCAGCCTGGGCCTGCAGGAACACCAACCAGCCCTGCAGTGGCAGGAGGGAGGATGAGGGGCCAGTTTGAGTATAGAGAGCTTGAAGGTCCAGAAATGGGATCCCAGCTCCCCTTTCCCAACCCCTCTCTGGCCCACAGGCTCTTGGGCCAGAAGCATCACTGAATTTGGGCCAGTTTGAGAAAGAATTTTTGAAAAATAGTCTCCAGAAGACAAAGTCTTGGGCCATCAATGCCCCAGCTTCATAGCCAGTGCCTTCATTCTCCAGCCCCCACCACCCAGCAGCTGCCTGTGGCTGGTGTCCCCTGTCAAGTTAGGCAGTCCCCCCCTGGAACCTTGGTAGGCAAGGAGCTCCCAGCCAGGTGGCTCTGGGCGTGAGACTTTTCTAATGCCCCTGGACTGCAGAAGCCTACAACATGCCCAGCCCCAGGAGGCCCTAATGAACCAGTAGGCCAAGAATGAGTGTTGGCAGGACCCCCAGCCAGAGGGAGGCCAAAAGGGCATGGGCACAGCCCAGCAGATGCTGGGCCTTGGCCTCGTCCTCAGACAGCAGCTGCCAGTGCTGGGCCTTGTGGACGTAGGAGCCCTCCTGGGCCTCGCAGTAGTAGTGACCATAGTGACCATCCGTGAGGTTCTCGATAAACAGGATGCAGTTGGGACTCTGGTGGCCAGGCTCGCAGCTCTGCTCCACCTTCTCTCCATGGCGCCACCAGTAGGTGGCATGGCGGGACTCCATGGGGCAGCTCAGGTAGTAGCGAGAGTTCCGGGCCAAAGAGACCTTCTGAGGTGGGGCCTCATCTGGGAGGGATGGATACACAACTGTGAGGAGGGGCTGAGAGCTCCCAGGACAGGCTTTGTCCTCCCCGAGGCCTCTAAGGTCAAAGCTTCTAAATGAACACAAGAATCTAAGCACCCACTCTCCTATTCTCCCCTGCCTCCCTCACCCCACCCTTCTTATACCACCCCCACACCAAGGACTATCTGGGGCCCCCCAGGAATAGGCTAGCTTTCCCTCATACAGAGAAATCGAGGCAAGGCTGGTATCACCCTCATTGGACTGGGGTCCTAGGCAGGGCTAAATCAGGTACCTGGCTTTGGGTTGGGGCACTCTTTGTGTGGCTCATCTGGATTAATAGACTGCAGCACTGACCTGGAGTTGGGAAAAGAGAGGCTAAACAGACAGGAAGTCACACCTTGCCCTTTCCTGTCCTCATCCCCCACCCAGTATCTGCCACAATGCCTACCAAGAGGGGGGTCTGGCCAGAATGGCTCGTTACCCAGCACTGATGCCTCCTGCAGCCTGTTTTCACCACCCCCACCCCTGTGTCTACCTTCTCCCAGGGAGAAGGGGTCCCAAACCAACATACCTTTGGGAGCTAAAGATGGAGACACAGTGGCCCTGGTCCCAGCCACAGTATGGGTCTCGGGCCATGAGGCAGCCATGGCAGCCCCCACCATAGATGTCACACAGGTCCAGGGGCACCTGGCTCACCTCCCATTGGGAGCTTACATACAGTTTCCGCTGGAATGAAAGACTACGTCAGACCAGGGCCCCCACCTCCAACACTGAGTTTTAAACTTCCAGGCCATAGCCGGCTACCCTACAGCCCAGAAGCTCTGAAAAGGACATGTGAATTGCATGCAAAAGAGCTCTGTCCTTAGCTGGCCATCACAAGGTGGCCTCATAGGGCAGGGCTGGGGGTGTGGAGGCTCACCCGGTCAGGGTCCAGTGACATGGCCTGGATGGCTGCCGCACGGCGGAAAGGCTGGATCTCCATGATGTTGAAGACGAGGCTGCTTTCCCACTCCTCTGACTTCACCACCTTGTGGATGGTGCCTCTGTCTGTGGGTGGTGGGCAGAGGGTCAACAGATGGGCATCCCACCTCAGAGACAAGCAGCCTCCCTCTACATAGGACCAACCAGAGAAGACACGGGTGGGGAGGCCTGGGAAGTCATGGCTCAGGCAAGGGTCACTATACCAGGTAAGGTGAGTGTGAGGGACTCGGGAGTCAGAGGGCAGCCGAGGAAGTTTCCAAGTCTGGCCCAGAGCTCCGGGAGGACCTGGGCAAGCTGGAGCATGAAGAACAGGACCAGCAGTCCTGCACACCCAATTAAAATGCTGACCCTTCATTACTTCTTTCCTCCACATCTCTGCTTGTGGGTATTATCTTCCCCATTTACCAGATAAGGCAATGAGGCTCAGAAAGTCTAAGCAACTTGATCACACTCTGTGACTACAACACAGAGATATCAGAATTTCACCCCTCAGCTTTTTCTATAACTGCCCTGCCTCCTGGACAACTTAAGGATGTGTTTTCTTTAAATACACCTTTTATTTTGAAGTAATTTCAGATTTACATAAAAAATGCAAAGATAGCACAGAGATTTGCTATATACCATCCACCCAATTTCCCTTAATGCTACCATCTTATATAACTACTAGAGGCCTGGTGCGCAGATTTCATGCATGTAGGGAGGAAAGCTGGGGGGTGGGGGTACCTGTTCCTCAGCCCCGCTTGCACCCTGTCCAACCTGGAATCCCTCTCACAATCCAGGACCGCTTGCTCCTAACCACTTACCTGCCTGCCTGATCGCCTCTAACTGCCTCTGCCTGCTGCCCTGATGCCCCTAACTGCTCCCCAGCCAGCCTGTCACCCCTAACTGCCCTCCCCTGCAGGCCCGATTATTCCTAATTGCCTCTGTCTTGTCTCCTGCCACCATGGCTTTGTCTAGAAGGACATCTGGACTAATTCGCACATTACCATTTTATTAGTATAGACTAGAGGCCTGGGCATGAATTCATACACAAGTGGGGTTCAGCTGGCCCACCCTGATTGGGGCCCATTGGGCCGGGCTGGCAGCGGGGAGGGGCCATGGCGGTTGGCTAGCCTACCACGCCCCTGATCAGGGTTTGGGGCCCAATGGGGGCCCAAATCAGGCTGGTTGGCTGCCTCAGTGTGCATCATAGCCACTGGTTGTTCCACCGTTCCAATCACTGGGCTTTTATACACACACACACACACACACACACACACACACACACACACACACACACACATATATATATATATGGCACATTCATCACAACTGAGCAGTATAGTATTATTAACTCAACTATAGACTTTACTGGGATTTAATGTTTTTGTTTTGTTTCAGGATCCAATCCAGGACTCTACATTGTATTTAGTCTTATGGAATTTTTATAAAATCTAAAAAGAATCTTAGATTCTGGACAGGGATTCCCAAGGTCACATAATGGCTGCCTGCCTCCAAGGTCAGTGCTCTATTCATTCACAACTGTTGGGGGGTCTAATGGGCATCCTGACCCTTGGATCCTTCCAATCCCACATCACCTTCAGTCCCAGTTTCTAGAATAGCCTCCCTTCCTCTCAATTCCCCAGGGCATTGCTTGTTCCAAAACAACAGTCAGATAAAAAGATGGTTGCTTGCCTAAGACATGTCTTTTAGTTCTGTGATGCCTCTTGTAGGATCTGGGATGTGGCCCAATGCTTCTTTGGCCTGACAAGCTCCCAGCCCACTCACAGCCCTTCATTTACTTCCACAACAGCCCAGTGAGAGCTTCTCATAGTTTCTCCCAGCTGTGAGAGCCTCTTGTGCCCTTCAGAGGGCTCAGAAAGCTCTATTTCTTATCTGGCTCCGATTCTTCCTGCTAAAGGCTCCAAATGGCATCTCTCCTACAGCCCTCAGGGAGAACCAAGATAAGTACCCTCATCATTCAAGTGTGCTCACCTTCCAAGTCTGCAGGAAAAGAGTCCACGGTTCCCATGGCCCAGGCCCCACCCTTCTGTCCTTGGTTCCTGTTCCTAGTCCCCCATTGTTTGACTTCTCCTCTGCTATACCCCAGTGCCTTGTCTGACTGCAGCAGCTAGGTCAGCCACTACTGGAGCAGAGCAAGGACAAGAGCCCATCGGTCAGCCAAGATGAATGGAGGAACAAAGAGGTGTGATCGCAGGACCTGGAAACCAGACCCTGCCCCATGGGAACTGATGTGGCCACTGTGGCCCTGAGAAGATTCCAAGATGAAGCAACAGCAGAAATCACACAGGAGGGGTGGGGGCTGAGCCCTGGAGCCCAGGTGCTAGCATCTTGGGGAAACACTGCCCTTTTTGATGGCATCACTGCCCACCTGAAATGAAATGCTGTAGCCTCTCTACACTGATCTCCATGTTCACTCTCAGGAGTCCCTTTGCCACAACTGGGACCAGGAAGCTGCCATAAACCTGCTTAGGCCTGGCTCTTCCATGGCCAGTGGCTTCTTGGGATGCAGGTGTATCTCCCAGGGCATTCCACCCAGCTCAGGGCTCAGCCAGACACTGCTCTCCTTGGGAAGAGGAGGAGCCTCTGCAAGATTGCAAAGGCTCTGCTTCCTGGAAGCCCTTCCTCATGTCTCATTAAATACTGTGCATCCCACATCAAATGTTTCCTCTTACCTGCATAATCCCAAAGACAGGAAACAGGATTTGATTTCCTCATTCTGTCTAGTAGGTGCCCAAAGGATACCCAGTGACCAGATCCTTCCTCCTGGCTTTCCACATCTCTTCCTCCCAGCTTCATGAATCAGATATCAGAACCAAACCTGCACCTGGCTTTGCTCAGACTGGCCACCTTTTTGCCTTGGAATCCTGGAACCTGCTCTCCTCCCACCCAAGGATGCCTTCCCCTCTTTGCCTCTGCCCCCACCTCCTCTAGAAAGCCCTTTCTGTCTGATTCTTCCACAGCCAAACATACTAACTCCTGACAGCTCTCAGTCATTCAATTCTTCCTTCCAGGTATAACGATCCAACCACATGTTAATTACGTTATTATTTATACCTTTCATACCCATTTTCACAAGGCCGACTAGGGGTCATGGGGTAGTCTCTCACCTGTAGTTAGGTAAAGCACATGAAAGGTCTCCCCGTGGCTGGTGTGCATGCGGTGAACAACTACTTTCTGGTAGTGGTACTTAGAGTGAAACAGCGGTGTCTTCAGAGGCCCCATGGGCTCCACCCTCTGTGCTACTTCAGGGTGACTGTCGGCCACCTGGAAGGTCTCCGTGGGTATCGGCTTCCGACCTGGGAGGCACTGGACAAGAAGAGTAGGCCCAGGTCAGTGGGTGGCTGGGAAGTGGGGTGGGGCCTGGGTCATGGCAGATGTCAGTGCTCACCTTGCCAGGCCGAGGGGTGGGAAGGCCTGTGTGGTAGCCCTTGAGTGAGGAAGTACGGAAGACCTTGTCAATGTCACCAAGGGAATATACACAGACAGCTGAGTAGTTCCTGGAGGGACACAGAGACTACCTCAGTGAGGGGCCCAGTACTCACCCACCTCCATTCACTCAGGCCAGCTCAGCACCATACGGGTACAACTAGAGCATTCTAACCAAGCTCCCCAGCCTACGAGCTCCATGAAGACATGGACTACCCTAGGGGCCAAGACCAGTGCCTAAGAGTCATCAGCCACCATTGAAGGCAGGAAGAAGAAAGAGAAATTCCACCTCATTCTTTCTGCTGCAATCTAAAACCACAACCTGACGGGACCGCAGGACTCAGGGGCCAGCGCCAGAGCAGAAGGGTCCCCGTGTGCATCCTGCGGGGCAGCTCCCCTGCCTCTCTGGACACAGCTGCAGGACGCCGACGCCCAAGGCCAGACCACACGCCCTCCCAGCCAGCTGAGTCCACCCACATGGGAGCCACAGAGCAGGGTGTTGGCTTCCCTACCCTGTCCCAACTCCCCCCACACCCAACACGTTTGCCTGCCTTATTTTCAATCAATGGGAGTGGTTAAGAGATGTGAATTACCAGGTGCAGGCAGTGTCTGAATGGTGTGAGAGTACCCTATGTAGGCTCAGCAGCCTTTTTCCTGGGCCCACCACCCACTCTGGTCATGCAGATGGTAGACACACAGGCACTGCCATGAACATGTATATAGTACAAGCATGTACAATAGTTGTACAAACTCAGAAACATATCAGCACAAAAATCTCTCCAAACACTGACTGTGTCCACTCCAGGCCCAGCAACAACCCTGCCCCCTGGTGTCCCTGCTCATCATCAGTTATCCCCTCAGGTGGGCACAAGCCCTCTAATCCCTACTAGACACGTAACTAATGCCAGATTCAGCCCCAGGACAAGGGTCACTCACCAGGGGTTGGAGAAAACACCATAGACCCTAGTGTCCCTCCACTGACCATTAGGGTCAGGGAGTAGGAAGACATCCTGTAGCCTGTTGAAGTTCTTGTTGGTGAGGGGGTCACTGCACACCAGCATGGCCTTCAGGAAAGTATTCCACTTGGAGACCGACAGCGAACTCTCACCACCCTGGTCCCCCTGAAAGGGTGGAGGGAAAAGGAGGCCCCTCAGTACCCCCTAGGCACCTGCTGTCAGGAATGTCAGCACCAGACTTCAGAGGAGGAAGATAGGCTCTGAAAGGGGCAGGGACCTGCCAGGGGACCAGGCAGAGGTGCCCCTTGACTCAGGCCAGGTTCCTGAGCCAGGCTCCAGCTAGAAGGCCTGGCTGACTGAGGGCACAGGGCCATCAGTGGGGACCTGCAGGGTGAGGGTGCTATGTCTGTCCCTACAGAGCAGATGGACTCAGACACACATTTGTCCATTCTCACACATGCACACTCATACAGAGATGACACTCTCACACACAGGTGACACACTCGAATATCCCAGCACCTTCACACTGTTGAAACGTACATGTAAACACACTTTCATACTCCCACTCCCACTCATACACACTCTTAGATGACTACACTCACTTGCACATTGCCACACATGCACATGAGCTCAACCATTTTTACCCACTCACAGATGCACAGACACTCTTGTGCATATACATCCCAGACGCAGACTTATACATTTCACACATTCCTTCAGACAAACAGGCGCTCACACACTCATACCTATTCACACATAGACACACACTCTTGCCCATTGAGCCACCCACTCACCCTGCATAGCTGGGCCACGCGGGACACATTGAGAGGAGCCTCAGGATTTTTGTCAGGGTTGTCCTCCCGGAAGAAGTAGTAGATTTTGTCATCATAGGCCTGGTCTTGGTGCACGATGGTTGCCTTAATGAACTGTGGATCTACCAGTGATACATGTGAATTGGTGTCAGGGGGAACCTGCTTGGGAGACCCATTCCAACCCTGCATCATACCCCCCAACTCTGCAGAAACAAACCTGGAGCAAATCAGACCTGGAATAAAACTCAGAACATCAGGCCCAATACCCCAAGGGTCTGAAACTCAGCACCTCCATCCCACATCTGTTCTGCTCTCTCCTTACAAAGATGTCATCAGCCCAGGAGCAATGACTTCATGCCTCGGGACTAGGAAGGTCCCTGGGCCTTTATGTCACTTCTGCCTAATTGGCAGAGCCCTAATGAGGAGGGAAGGAGAGTTGCCCCCACATGAGCTCAGCAGAGGGATATACTATGGCTCCCAGGGACCCCACTCTGGGTCTGCGGCTCCTCTGTTTTGTTACCACAGTGTGTAGGGCCCATCTGCCTCTGCTGTTCCCCTGCTCCCTACCAGGCCAACGTCCTCAGCTCTGGCTATTCAGGCCTGTCCTAAACTCCCATTTTCCTGACTGGCCTGTGACCCCAGTCGCCCTTGGGGCCCCCACAAGGGACATGAGGATCCCATGAGCCGCCGTGGGCATTCACATCCTGGTCTACCCCAGCCCAGCTGGAGTCTGACTCACTCTGCATGACGGTGTCACTGGTGTACAGCTCAGTCTCGCCCTGGATGCGGCGGAACCGAGGGATCTTCCCATTGTATTCCTGCTTCCGGATTGTAGAGTACACCTCATCCCCTGGTCATGGTGGAAGGGGTGTGGGTAAGGGCAGACAGCTCTTAGAAGTCTCTCCCCTGGGCATGGGCACTGATTTGATCACCCTCCCCCAGACAAGGGCAGCAGTCCTACCGTCAAACAGAACCAGGGAGTTCTCATCCGGGCTGAAGGGGGCATAACCTCTCCTCTCACCAAGTGACTCCACAGTGCCATTCACCTGGAGGAGGCAAAGGGGTTAGACAGCCACACAATCCCATGGCTACTGCTTCTTATGGGTTGCCAGCTTCCCCTCCTCCCAAGCATTCTAAACAAGGTGAGCCAGCCTCTGAGTCTCCCTCCTCCTTCCCACCTTGGGAGGCAGAAGCCCACCCAAGCAAGAGCAAGCTGACAAGGCATATGGGTAAGGGCCTTCTCACCAGGCTCCAGCAGCTGGGGTGCCGGGCATTGGTTCCGCAGGCCAGCAACCCCTCGCCCTGTCTCTCCAAGAGTGTTATGTAGTTCTCACAGTCCTGCCAAGAAGGGGAAGAAGAGAGGTAGGTTAGATGCCTTGACAGGTCTCAAACCAGAACCCTTAGTTTTGGAAAAGACAGAATCAGAAGGCTGAGCATAGAGGCAGTCTCCAAGGAGAGCCTAGAGGGGATGCAGCTGATCCCAACTCCCCTGAGAGCAGAGGAAGAACACAGGGACCTTGGAGAAGGACTGTGTCTCCCATTCAGACTGGGGTACCCAAGGCAGGGTTGTGCCTCCTTCCTCAGACTCCCAGGGACTCTCATCCCTTTTCCAAAGCGCCAGCCTCCCCTCTACACTCCCTCTCCTCCACTCACCTGCTTGCCCAGGCAGGATCCCTTGGTGGAGCCAATGTTCACCTGGGGGAGAGGTGAGGAACCATTAGTCTACCCTGGAGGGGTCAGTTGCCCTGCAAGCACTGTCCGTGTGCCCTCAGGACAAGTTCATTTTATAGCATAGGTGAGCAACTAGGACTCTGACAGGGTGTGATTCACCAAGGTCACAGAGGCTGCTCTGCCCGATACTGAGCCAAGCCCAGAGCGCCAGTCGAGGGATCTCAGAAGCCAGGGGCGATGGGGTTGTGGAGCTCAGCTTCCAGCCCAGGCCTCCCCCATCAGTGCAGCCCACCTGACCAGGTGGGTAAGCTCCGGGCTTTTCTCCACACTGACCAACACCCACTCCCATCTGGACTACCTTTAGAAAGCCTCCCCCAGGGACCGTTTCTGGGATAAAACGGGAGGTGGACCAGTTTAGGAGAAGATGCCAGCTCCCATCCCCTAATTCCCTGAGCCCCTCACCAAGGCCAGAGGGAAATAAGGGGAGAATTGGGGGAAAGGGGCAGTAAGGGCCCCAGGCTCACCGTGTGCATAGAGGCGTTCTTGCCCTCGGGGAAGTTGAAGAGGTAGACCTTGCCACGTCCACCCACCCACACAGAATCGCTGCCTGGCTCATGGAAAAGCACGGTGTGTGGCTCCGCTGAGCCAAAATCCACCCGGTCCTTCCCTGTGCGGCCTGAGGAGGAGGTAATTGGCAAAAACTTGAGGCTGGACCACGGGCAGGAGACTCTATCATCCCTCTCAGGCACCCGGCATCTCCCTGGCAACTGGTGCTTGAGTCTGGGCTGGGGCAGCACCAGGACTCGAAGCCACAAGTGGAAAAAATGAGGGGTACCTTGGTGGGGTCCTCACCCCAAAGCCATGGCCCCTACCCTATAATATGTGACCTCAGAGTAGGGACCCCTAGGAGAGCAGGCTTCCTCCTCCACCACTGCCCGCCCACAAACTTGGCTATTTCCAACAGGCTGGACTTCGGCAAGAGAGACCAGGACCTCCGTGGCTCTGCAACCCACAACACAGCGAGCAGCCATCTCCACCCCCTGCAGGTAGCAGGGCTCTAAGCACCCCACTTAGAGTCCAGGTTCCCTAGACTCACTTTGTTCAGCACCCTATCCCCTCCTTCAAGAAGCCTTCTCCAACTCTTCCTGGCCCAGCCCAGGCCTTCAGTGAATAGGTCAGTTCACATCAGAGATGGAAATAAATCTAAATGTCCACTCCCTCCCATTTCACAATGGAAAAACAGGGGCCCAGAGCAGGTATAGCACAAGGTTGTAAAGTCAGTAGCAGTGCCTTAATGAAAGCCAAGTTCCTGCCCACAGCTAGACACTGGTCTGGCCCACTCTGGCCTGGTTTCATGAAGGTGCCAGCTCACCCCAGGGGTCAAGTTCCACCCTCCTTCCCCAGCAACTCTGGGATAGGATGTCCTTCACAGAGCACATCCTGGGCCTTTAACCAGGAGGGCTGATCTGGGCAATTTTGCCCAAAAAGGAAACTCTCTGCAGATACTGCCTCTGGGGAGATGTCTCATCTCCAGCGACATTGCTGAGATTGTCCTGGTTGCAGAACTAAATTCCAGGGATTGGACAGCTCACATCTTCCCACCTCCGACCACTCTGAGGCCTCATGCCAGAATGGGGCCTGACCACTGTGTATTCAGCTACAGCAAACTCCCGGAGTAGCCAGCTTAGCAGTGATACGCAAGGAAGATACACTCCACCCCGGACAGAAAAGAACTGCCCTTTTCTTCTTGCTGCCATTTGAGCCATTCCAACTGATTCTGCATTCAACGGGGCAAGGAGCGCAACACTCCATTCCTGAAGATGCATGCCTGTGTGGCCAAGTCACTCTGGAGGTAGGGTAACACACTCTCCACTTCAGCTGTAGCCTGGCTCACTGCAGAGATGGAAACTGAGGGCTTCTTGGGGACATGCCAGCCCAATGTCACACTAGGCAGCAGGACAGACTGCCTAGTCTATCACTGAGTATTGGTTGTCAGGAGCGTTTAGAAAGTGCAGCATTGTGAGCCACAGAGAAGTGCTGAACTCACTGCCTCTGGTTCACCTGGCTTTCCTTGGGCATTCCACAAACAGCCCAAGCAGCCTCTCTGGACTATGAGGCCCACTCCCCATCAGTCCCAGCTATGCAGGGCTCCTTTCCAGCTGAGATAAAATTAGAGTGCTGGGGTCAGCAGCCAGAAGATACAAGGCCTTCCTGACTCAGCTCCCACAGCTCCCCTTGCACCTGCAGCCTGAGCAGCAGCCACCATCCCACAGCCCAAAGCCCAGAGCTCAGCCTGGGATCCAGACAGTCAGCAGCCCCAGCTCCCCTCCTACATCCCCAGCCGGCCAGGGGCCAGGGGCCAGGGACCCGGGGAAAGGGGCCAGGAGAAGCTATGTGTCTGCATCTAGAGATGTTGGACTGGGGCAGAAGCTCTGAACCCCTCACCCCAAGGCTAAAGGGGAAGAGCCCCAACCCTTGGGCCATACTGGCCATCTCTACCAGTCACCTCAGCTTGCACCAGCAACAAGGCCACAATCAAGGCACAGCTCTCACCCCTGGAAAGAAGCACCAGAGGAGGCCCTGAAGGAGCCCTTGTCTGGGCGTCTGAAGTCCTGCCGGGGAAGTGGAGTCTGATGGGAAAGGCAGTAGCCTGGTCCTGAAGAGCAAGGTCTGCAGGGAAACTGGCCCTAACCTGGAATTCAGTTGGGGGGAGTCACCACATCAAAGCAAGCCCCCATAATGCTCACGCAAAACTGTCTAGGTGCTGCTCACAAAGAATTTCTGAGGACACAGAGGGCAGGTGAGAGCTGCTGCAGCTCCATGTGAGGGACTGCAGCATCGGGGCCAGGGCAATCCTGCACAGAATTGCAAGCCTGAGCCCTATTCCTCTCAAACCTGGCTGCAGGCCCTGGGGTGCAGGGAAGGCAGGGATTATTGGCCCCATTTTGCAGAAGAACAAACAGGAGCCCAGAAACATTGCCTCCACTGACCTCCAGGCTCCCGCCTCTCACTGCTCTGCTCCTGGTGGTATGCTGGAGGGGATGGCACCAGTCCGGCACCAGGACCTGGACTTGGCCCATTCTCCACCCTAGCCCCACACCTGCTCCTGCACAGCCCAAAGCCCTCTAAGGGACTGATTGTGCTGGGGAAGTGTCTGAGCTCAATGAATACATGAAAGGACAAGGACGCTTTGTTCAGGTTGGCAGGAGCGGGGGCTGGGGGCTCAGGGGCAGTAAGGCTGCCTGGAAGTGAAGGCAGCACCAGGCCTTTGGGGCCAGGATCCACAGCCCCATGGCACCAACATGGGCCAGGGAGGGGTCAGCCTTCAATGCTCTGCCCATGCAGAGCAAGGCTGGGACTGCCCCTAAAAAGGCCCAGCCAAGGGAACAATTGCCACATCCTTAAACACGTTTTTTTGCTTCTTTATGAAAACCAAGAGATGAGGAAGGCAGATTCAAGCTAGATGGATCAAGAACAGGCAGAAAAAGAATTGACTTTGGCAGGGGAAACAGGCCAGGCAAAGCAGGGAAGCTGACTGCATGGTGAGTACAGAGAACTAACCAGAGAAGATCAGGAAGGCGGGCTACGGACCTATGTGATGGGGAGAGAAGGTGCTGCGGCCTCCCAAGGATATACCAAACCACTGCCCAGCAGTCTCTGGTGCTTTCCCTCCTTCCTAGGAGCAGGGTCAGTGTCCCAAAAGCCACCCCTCTTCTAGCACCCCACCTCTGTGCTCCCTTGCCTGCCCAGCCCCCTCTGCTTCCCCCATCCTGAATATCTAAAAGGAGCACCGTCTGGCACCACCATGTCTCGCCCCTCACTCTCCAGCCTGATGCATTAGTGGCTGACTAAGTGGTAGCTAAAAGCTCCCAGAATAACCAGGAGTTCAGGCAGGGGAGGGGTCTAGGAGAACACAGGGTGGGCATAGCCCCAGAGGCAGCCTGGTACAAGACCCCCTCCTCCAACCCTATGTGATTCCAACCCTTACTTCTTCTGGATCAAGGAAGAGCATACTCAGGCTGCCCTGTACCCAGCATGTCTCCATGGACCTCCGTGAGACCCCACCTCCTCACAGTGTCAGGACAGGCAAGGCCCAGGCCCAGCCCAGACCAAACCAAGGGTCAAGAAGATGGCTGGGTGTGGGAGGCAATCTCCTTCAGCCATAGCCCCCCCAAGTTGGGTTGTCCCTAAAGCCTGATCCTGAGGAAACCAGTCAGAGCTTATTCCTCTCATGCTTGCCACCTTCCCACCACTGTCCCAGCAGCCAGTTGGCTGGGGTAAGTCTGGACTTCTGTAAAGCAGGCCTGCCGGGTGGAACACCATTCCTTCTCTCATATTCTCTGGGTGCTGTCCCCATTTCCTCTTTGCTTGTGAGAGGATAGCCCAAGGGGAGGGCAAGGAGCTGGAATGGGAAGGGGGTATTGTTGTCCCTGAAAGGAGCAACAAGGGACAGGCCCCACCGTCTGGTCTGGGCAGGGACAGCCTTTCTACCTGACCCATTGACCCAACAGGTCTTGAATGCTAAACTCAAGGAGTCCTTTGAAAGTGGGTATTGAGGTTGACTCTGAGAATGGTAGGAATTCAGACACCCAGCAAAAACCAGGCCAACCTCCAACTGGGACCCAACAACAGGTGGCAGGAGCTACGCCCCACCCCACCCACTTCACACCCTTGCCTACTACACAGCTGGCAGAGAGAAGAGGAAAGGCCCACCTGGAGTCCAGGAATTAGCTGGCAGCCTCTCCACCCTTTGAAACCCACACCCTATGGGTCACAAGGTGGAAGGAAGGAAATCGGAACAGTCATTGGGCTGAGGGGGCATAGAGACCAGAGAGGCTGTATCAATGGCCCAAGGCACAAAGCAAAGGAACTAGGGGGCAGGGCAAGGTCACAGCCCAGGGTTTCTGGTACCCAGCACACAACTTAGTCCTCTGGAACCACATCCTGAACTTTCTTGAGAGCCTCAGGATTTGCAAAAAGCTGTATATCATCTTTTCTCCACTTCTCTGAGTCATCTCTTGCTCTCCACCCTCCCCGCCCTATTCGTTGAGAAGGCACTAACCTGATAACTGACAGGAATTACCCACACACCTACCTTTCAGGTGGGGTTCTGATCTCCAGCGACTTTTAGCAACCAAAGCCTTAAACTCCAATAAGTGACAGAAGGTAGAATGTAGCACTGGGTCAGAGCAGTGAAGGGAAACTATTCCACTGGGATGAATGGAGTCAAAGGGGCAAATGTTGCATTGGTTTTGTCTCTCCTGATATGGCCTGGGATGAGGGTGTGAGAAGCTACTCTTCATACCCAGAAGCCCCGTTTCCAGGGTGGCACTGACTCATGCTAAGGAGGAACTATGGTTGTTACTGGGGTGCTGGTAACATTCAATATTTGGCAGGACAAGGTTCCAGCCAGCTGTCTGGCAGGGGCGGAGCCGAGCACTAGACAGGTAGCAGGCTCTTGATAAGGTTCTTAGTCATGGGAAGTGAGACATCTGCCGCTCTTTATCAGCCAGGGAACTGGGCTGGGCTAAGGGGTGTTTCCACTGCCCACCAAGGTCAGCTGTGGGTGGGAGGGGCGCATATATCAGGTAACTCAGCCCTGATTCCAAGAAGCCATGTTCTCCCTTTGGCAGCCAGGCGGCTAATTGGGTATGACCATGACCAGGGGCTGGACCT